CAAATAAATATTAAGTCCCGACGAATCCGGATTAACGACTTTTGACTGTATATCCAGTATTATGGAAGAACCCTGCCAGCTTTGTTTCTTCCCCATATGAACAGATTTTAATTTATATCCACAATATCAGGGCCACATATTTGTTTATTTGTTTGTTAGATTAGATGTAGAGAACACATTTCTCTCAACTGTTATAGATTTGTAAAAACTGAATTGCTTCTCTTACCACTTAATTAATGCCAGTAGTTCTTCTGCTCAGTAAATAAATACATTTTACATTACATGCAAATAAATACATGCTACAGCATTTTGGAAGCCACTGAACCAGTTGTTAAAATGTTTACCTTTTCATCACTAGCTGCTTTTCACATTGCATTTCCAAATGCTTTCATTGATATGTAATTTTATTTGATGCCCATATTTGCAAATTCATATGAGGTAAAATGCTTTTCTTGGAAGATATACACTCGGAAAAGGAGGGGAAAAGTCTATTCTGCATTTTAATGTCACATCTGTTATAAATTTACAATTTTGCTATTTGCATGTTTTTAAAATACCTCACTTTAATAATCAAATCTCATTATTCATGTTACTATAGCTGTCACCTCTCCCAGTAAACCAGGAAACTCTTGGTATTTCATCACATTTCCTAGTCTCCCAGATTACTGAATTTCCCAGTTTTTAATTTTTTGTATTTGCCAGTAAAAGTATTTTTCAACAAAAAATAAATATTTAATTATTCAAATTTTATTCTCCTACTCTTAGTGATTTTTAGCATAATTTTCCTTATTAAATTTTATTTGATTTGAATTGTCTTAATCTACTGTAGATATTTGTGGAACTTTTAGTAAGTGTTGAATCAGTAAATATATTTGTTTAATTTTGTTTTACATTTAATATTTGGTTCATTGTGATCTTATCCACATATCAGTATGTATATTAATTATCAGTTTAATCTTTATCCTATTTAAAAGTTATTTGTTAAACAGAAAGTTTTCTTCTCTACTCAGCATTTTCTCAATATAATAGTGTAAGAAAGTTACAAAATGAAATTAGCTGAAGAACATCAAACTTAGAATACATAATTAAATTATAATGGCCTTTTACATCAAATTCATGTTATAAATAGTTGAATAATCTTAATCAATCATCATAAACTTAATTTAAATCAATATAAAGTTCATTCACCATACAACATGAAAACTTCCCAGGAACTCTTGGGTTTGGGCACAGTAATCTCATAGTTTTTCATATTTTAATGTTGGTAGCTATGATGTTACTGAAATCCATTTTAAAAGCCTAAGAATTCCTAATTCAGCTTCAGAGCTTTGAAACCTTCTATTTGACCAATTTGTTACTCAAAATATGTAATTATAGGAAATTTAAAAATACAGATTGTCTTCTACTTTAAGTAAGTACTTTAAAATATACCAACATCATAATTGTAATCTTTTTGTGAGTTCTAGTTTGAGTATTCGAATTCCAGTATTCCAGTTTGAGTATTCGAGTTTGAGTTCGAGTATTGCAAGTTCTAGTTTGTGATAATTCTTTACTCTATGTTAATAGCTAACATAGAGCAAAGAATGGAATACTTAAAATACTCTTAACTAATATCTAGCATGGGATATGTGAGTTACAAAAGTAATAGTCATATAGTAAATATGTTATTTCATATAATTTTAATATTTCTAAGTTTAGTTAATTTTTTTTAATCTATGAAAATTAGGTTTATCAGAGCTTAAATTGTGCCAGAGGTCACCAAAGACTTCTGAATTTATGAAATTAATTGTAATTCTAGCCAAAGTGCACCTTAATAAGCCTTAAACAAGAGTGCACTGACACTTCTGAAACTGAAGGAAAATTTTGACAGGAAATTCTTTTAATTTATTCAAATTTTATTTTAGTAATAACTAAATATTAAAGGTTGATTCTAACTTCTGAATGCATGCCTGTCTTTTCATGAGAAACCAATGTTTGGACAGAGGTTGAGAAAGATTGAGAAAAACTTTCATGCCCACATAAAAATCTTACTCTCCAAGAAACACAATAAATTTATGAAAGATTCTTTGTAAACAGTTAAATATTTTATTCCCAAAAATATTAGGAGTTAACAGCCCGGTCATATTGTCATTAATCAGCGGAACCATTGCATACATGGATTCACATCAGCAATTTCAGTTACAGTCAAAAGTCGTTAATCCGGACTTGTCGGGACTTCGGCGATTCCAGATTATCGATTTTTCCGGATTATAGATCATCAGTTTAAATCTGGTAAGATGGCATGCAGAAATTACAAAGTTAAAAATATGAAACTGTAATTTATGAAATAAAGAACAATTATGATCTAAAGGGTTTCAAAATTTACAAAAAGAAAAAGCTTAATAATTATTTGTTTACTTTATTAAACATTTCTTTCAATGTAAGTTGTTTAAGTTGCTTCATTTCATGCGATAATACTTTCTCTTTAATTCTATTAAACAGACATAATTTCTTGTTTAGTTCCAAAGTTCCGCTGTTCAAGTCCTATAATTGCTGTGTCAAGAATACCGACAATTTGTCAATAAAAATTTTTTCGTTTTCAATAACCTCTGTGTCACTTTCTTCACTATCGGAAGCGAATTATAATGATGAGGAACTTGATTTAAATCATATCAAAGATGGAGTACATCGAGATGAAATACTATATTTAGTAAGGAGTTATAAGCCAAATAAAATAAAAACATCTGCTCTGAAGTGCTGACAGATCAACTTCCAATTCCTTGCGCGCCCTGGCGTTTCCCACCTCTCCCCGCCGCAGAGCAGCATGAAATTGATAAACAGATTTTGGATTTCAAAACATACTTTTGCTTTGTAGATCCTTTACATATTAGTAAATATATATCGGAAATTCTATTTGATATAATCGAAAAGTTCAAGCTTACTTTTATAAAATTGCTCTAATAGTCTGCAAAAAATAATAAGCCGCATCCAATTCGAAGATTATGGAACAACGCAATCTGCAACATTAACTAAATTAGATAAATTTAGCTTAGCTTATACTGTCCGTTATACATTAAACGCGCATGCGTAAACGTATTATGTGTATGCGCACACGCATATTCGCAGCCGTAAAGGTCTTACGCGCACGCGTAAACGCCCATGCGCATGCGTCAAAGCGACACATGCGCAGAAAGTTTGTAGCTTTGAGGTCCGGATTATAGATAATTTTGGATTATGGGTGTCCGAGTTAGAACAGGAAAGGGAAACTGTGCATGCTTCTAAATGCACTTCAAGTTGTAATAGGCTTAACATAGAGAAATACTAGGATAAATGCCTCATATACATTCAATGCTAGTGACTTCCTGTAGAAAACAACACCTGTAGACTTTTTGAACAATGTAACCAAATATGGGGGATGAAGATGGTGACTTTTGTTTATGTTTCTTCTTAGAACCTGTTTGTTCTCAGCCTGCAGATTATTCTTTAGATTAAAGGGGGTGGGCAAACTTTCTCCTGTCACATTTAGCTTGCCAGCTAGAATCATATCAACTGGAGATAGTAATCAGAAACTCTCTTGTCTCTTTGTTTTCATTTGTACACCTCTCTGTTAAAATTAGTATTTCTAACATTCTGTATATTATCAACACTTTAATTGTTTTATGTTCTTTCACTGGTGTGTGTAAGAAAGATTGATCCTTGTTTCTATCATCCCTTCAAGTAGAACATTATATTGTATATTCAGGGCTTCTGCTGACTTTCTTAGCTGAGTGAAATTGTAATTCCAGCTGCAGCCTTAAATAAGCTGAGGTCTTGTATTTTATTTATTATTTAATAATATGTCATAAATTTAATTTATTACATTATTATTTATCACCTTATGTTTCATTGAATTTTAATGATTAATTCCTTTATCATTTTAAATATTAATTACTTTACTTGTTTATTTTTTTCATCTTTTCTGACAGCCTTCCATAGTGCTCTGGCACATCTAATTTTACAAAATAAGCCCTGTTTACAAGTAACCAAATGTATAGCACTGCTGAACACTCGTAGTTTGAATTTGAATCTCATTTATCTAGATGATGAGCATTTTCATTATTTCCCCCATCTGTTAACTGAATACAAACCAATTTTCCTTAGAAAGTTCTTGTTGAAAACATTATTAAACTGTTGAAACATTATTATCATTATTAAATTATTATAATTTTTAAACTCCTTATTATAAAATATTCACTAAATTATAAATTGCCAAGTTCTTTGGTTAAACCCTTTATTTTCCCATTATTCTTGTCTTATTTTTTTTTATAGTTATCAGATTATATAAAGCCAATTCTTTTTATATAATAAGTTATAATTTACTGAATAAACAGAATTTGTTTTTGTCATCTGGTTATATTAACAGTAGTACTACACAGTTAGATTTTTTGTTTTCTTACTTCTAGTAATCAGATATAAGTGTAGCATGTGCTCAAATATAGTGTTCAGTTATCATAGTAGATATAGGGGGCCCACCAGCGGCCGAGCAGTAAAGTTGCTGAACACTGGTAGTTCGATCCGAGGGGCTGCCTGCATGGGCATTTTCATGGTTTTTCCCATGTGTAATGTGTATACGAGCCAGTTTCCCTTAGAAAGTCCTCCACAAAGTCATCCCTCCCTTAAGGCAGATAGCCCTCGAGGCTTTGCCATAATCGCACACCTACACACATAGTAGATATAGATAAGAATGTCTTAAAATTTGTTTTTGGATTGAATAATCATTCCTTCAAATTTTAAGATATTTAATTTTAATTTTCATATTATTAGGTTACTAATTCAGTAGTTGTTTAACATATTCTGTATTTCTCATTGCATTGACAAAAAGCAAGCTATAAAACTCATAGGGTTTGTTTCAGAGTGCAAATATATCAAATTAACATAAAGTATAAATTCAGTTTAAATCAGATGTTCTCACTTTAAATTGGCAGATAACATTTGTATTCAGATCTACTCTTTAATTTTGATTGTATCATATACATATCTAGGATTTGGACACTGTTGATAATGGAATTTTAGATCATCTTTATGAAGAAATGGAAAAAAATGATTCTGATATTATAATAGCTCACTTTCTTGGTGTTGATCATTGTGGTCATCGATATGGACCAAAACATCCTGAGATGTCAAGAAAATTGCTACAAATGAATAATGTTATTCAGTAAGTATGATAAGTTTGATATTTGCAGTGTATTTAAGCTTCAGAATTTAAAATCATAATATATATATATAAAAAAAAAATTAAAAAAAAAAAATTCTGAATGTTTATTATGTTGTTAATTATTTAATATTGCTGTCTTATTTCAATTCATAAAGATAATTTAATAATAATATTGAAATCCATTGTGACTCCTGGAATTTGATTTTTATGAATCTTGAAAAAATATTATTGTTATCACTATGCAAATTACATGCCCTTGCAAAATAAAAATTGTTGTTATTTATTTGCAAGCATTGTGCAGTTTAGTGAAGAAACTGCAGTTACATTTTGAATAATTCAAATTTTCTTTATTAAATAAAGGCACATTTTTCACATAGCATTAATTTATGATGAAATTATTATCATGACAACTTTCCCTCCCCTCTTACCTGTTGATTTCTTATTTTGAGTAACTCATTTTAAATACATGACTTTATGTTCCATATCTTGAACATTTAGGAAATAATTTTTAAATTAATAAGCATGACATAGGTGCTAGTTTAGGATATTTTCAAGTGTCAAACTGAAATTTGAATATCAGACTGCATTATTAAACAAAAGACTAAAGTGAAATATATTTATAATTTCTTGAAATTTTAATTAATGAACTTTTTTTGAGGTGTTAGACCAGACATGGCCAAACTGCAGCTCATGAGTCTCATACTGCTCTCCAACTTAACTACAGCTTGTGAGCTATTTACAATCCTTTGCCATCTGAAATGTGACTTTGTTTTAATAAATATAGTTACATTTTTTAATACAAATTTAAAATAGATATCATACAGTGGAATTTGAAGTGGAATTTGGAATTTGAAATAGATATCATACAGTGCTATGTTTCTTTATTAATCACTAATTTAATTTCTGATATTATGTATGTAAAAATTTGATAGATTTCAAACTGTCCACTGCTGGCTTATCATCAGAGCAATGAATACATAAAATTACAAATAATTCCATTTCTGATAATTATTATTCCAGTTATTTTACTTCTTGAGCAGGTAATGGTTATCGGAATACATTAATACGAATCTAACACCCAATGCTAATATTTTTATTTAATTCTCCCTAATATTTTTTTCTCAAGTTAATTTAACTTCAGGCAGTATCTGCTTACATTCCTGTCTGATCCATTGTTCACAACAGTCATGATCCACCTGGAAGATTTCCTATTTGTTGTAGGATACTACTTTTATTCAGTCTTTAAATGCCGTGAGTAACTGTTGAAGAAATCTGTTTCACCTTGCAGTCCATATAGATCTCTTTTATTTTGTGGGAAGAATTTTATGAGGATTTTATTTTGGTTGGAGTGAACCTTCAGCCTCTTACTTGATTAGGAGACTTGAATTTTCTGTGGAATTCCTTCAAAACTAATTTCCTATTCCTCAGCAAGTCAAGCATTTTTATGCAATTTTTTCACATGTTTTGCAACCATTCACAATAATATGCTTAATAAATACTTTTCTCGTATGAATTTCATAATAATTCCTTGGTAATAGTAGGCAGAGATCATGGTGAAGACAACCATTGGTGAAATAAATAAGATAATTTATTTCACCAATGGTTGTGCATGCTGAAATATTTGGAGTTGTGGGAAGAATCACTGGTTTAACAATGATTTAAATTTTAGTCAAAATGTTTATTTTTCATTTTAGCAAATATTCTTATTCCAGATAAAGCTCTTTCACATTAATCATCAAATCTTCATATCAGTAATGTTGCATCAAGCAATGAGGGATCAATAGAACACAAACATCTCTTTTCTCCAAAGTTTCTGTCAAAATCGGCATATTGATATTGGTGAAATCTCTTTAGCTTGCGATATTTTCTGGTATTTTTCAGTTTCTTGTTTGATGACCTCTAGTACGAGATATACCTCGCAGTAGAGGCATTTTGCTCCACTAGGTTAGAGTCGCTGATAAATATCGCACTAGGTTAGAGGCATTTTGCTGTGCGGCATATCTAAAATTTTTCACACCTTAGTACTGCTGCTCTGCACCTGCACCAGTTGCCCTGGCTGTAATGCCAGCATTATATTTCTTTTAATATGTTGATATTTTTTGTTTTCCTAATTTTTTATCATCATGTACATCTGACACGTCATTTGGGAAAGCTTAGAAGCCAAAAGAAAAGTTATACAATGATCCACTGCTTGATCACTACAAATTTCAGGCATTAATGTGAAATTTTGCTCCCATTAATTTTTATTTTTAAAGTCTGATTTTTTATTTTCTAAAGTATCCTCTGCCCACAGACTGCATTTCAAACTGTAATTGAGATTTAATTTCTGTACACAATGGTAACCCAATGGAAAGTTCTACTATATAACTGTTAAGCTGAAAATAATTTATTTTGAACTTTCTGAGTTATTTTACTTAGAAATTCAAGACGAGCGTTGAGTCATTTCACTGCCTTTATGGGTCCAGCAGTTAGAATATGGTTCATATACTTGGCAAGAGTTTAGGAACTAAACTATTTTGCAGATGCCTGCCATGTTACAAAAGGTCTCCACATCGAACATCTGTGCATGTCTAAAGAAATATGAAGAATTACACCTTAGTATTATATCTGTATTTGCAAAATAAATTCATTATAGTTGTAACAGGTATATTTTCTTTCTGTAACATTAGTTTTTGTTTACCATGTATTTGAAAAACAGTTCATAATTAAACAGCTAGGTTGAAGATGGAGTATGTGCTTGACGAAGCGTTTATATAGCCCAGCATAAACTACTAAATTTATTAGCATATTGTAATGATTCAAGAGGTGGTTTCGAGAATTTTCAATGATGCACATGAATTTCTTATCTGAACTGCTTATCTGTGCCCAAAATAATCAGGACAGTTCGAGAGATAGTTTCAAGAATTTCAGTGATGCGCGTGAACTTTGTTATCTATGTCCAAAATTATCGGGATGATTTGAAAAATAGTTTCGAGAATTTTCAATGATGCGCATGAACTTCGTTATCTATGTCCAAAATTATCTGGACGATTTGAGAGATAGTTTCAAGAGTTCTCAATGATGTGCATTGTACTGATTACTAAAAAATTCTGGAAAATCTGGAAAATTCCATTGGATCCCACGCTGAAATACTGTATCAGTGAGGACCGCCATGAGATATACTGAAATTGCAATCATATTCTCTTTTGTGTTATTCTTCTATACTGGGCATCAGTAAAAATAGTTATTCCAAAGTTTTGTGAAAAAAATGTTAACTGATTTCTTATGTTAGGATCCAAAGATTCAAATGATCTCAGTATGTTGGTCCTTATGTTAATTATGTGGAGAAACAAAATAATTTTTTAAGCAAAAGCCTAAACAAGTTAATAGCTTATTTTTAAATAAATATTTTTTCTCGAATAACAGTTTCTGTGCAGTGTGCATTGTTGTGTATCATTTAATTTATCCTTTCTAAAAGACTGCTCATGAGTTTAAAAAAAAACTCAATTTTTCTTTTAAATAATGATTTGTAATTTTCTCAAAATAACATTTTTTTACGTAAATGCTGACCAATGAATGTGCTTCCGATTTATTTTACTTCTACTAAAATAAAAAAGTAATTATAAATGGAGAGGTATAAAGGAGATCAAAAGAAAATATTGGTTTCTCTGCCTGAAGAACAAACGCTCAGTTGCCCAGTAAAAGAGTTACAAATTTTCATTTTTTTGGGACTTAACTTTCATAACACAAAACAGTAAATATAAGATGTATTTATTCTTATTTATATGTAATCATGTTAATTGCATATTCATTAATTTACTTCAAAAGTTTCTTTATATTCAAAACCTGTATCATTATTATTGAAAAAATATAAATTTGGACTTGTGGCTGTCGAATGTTCATAAAATCTATCATGTGGCTCCCATAGTCTTGAAGTTTGGCCATCCCTGTGTTAGACTGTAATCTAAAATTTTTAAATTGGAATATTTTTAATACCTTGAATAAAGTGTTATTATTTTCATAACTTAAATTTTATGTCCTGGCAAAATAGAAGTTATTGTCATATTGCATGGAAAGTTTTTGCTTCAAGATTCTTGTACAAGCACTCTGAGCAAAAAATTCTTTTCTGAGTATTTAAATTTCTTCCTTATTAAATAAATGCGTAAGTCTACATGTGGTGTAAATTTATGATGGTATAATATCATAGCAAGTTTCTTTCTATTGCTGTTTGGCATTACTATTTGGAGCTGTTCATTTTAGATGCATGATTGTGTATGTCTTGGATTCATAAACTGGTAGGTTTTCATAATTGCATCATTTAACACTATTTTTAATGTTCAACTAAAATTGAAATATGCAGATTTTAAATTTATGTTGCAGTTTTTAAATTTATGTGAATATTAATTTTTTCTTTTGATTTTAATGCGAAATGCTTCTTTTAGATGTTAGACTGTAATCCAATGCCTTTAGATGTAGTTTTCTTTGTTATGTTTCGACTCTGCGGTTGCGGATTTTCCAATTGCTTGTGTCATCTACACAGTCTACTGCTTATCAAAGACTAATGCCTTAATTATTGCTTTTCACTACGATATGCCTTCATGCACCTTATGGAAGTAATGATCGAAAAGTGACATAACATTGATTGGGATAGGACTCCAGTCCAGGCGCCCATTGAAACGAACGTCTCATTCACGGATGATATACAGTACAAAGTCTGTTATCCAGACTCGTGGGGACTACGTCGATTCCCGCTTAGGGTTTTTTCCGGATTATAGATCATCAATTTAAATCTGGTAAGATAGCATGCAGAAATTATACAATTAAAAACATGAAATCGTAATTTATGAAATAAAGAGCAATTATGGTCTAAAGGGTATCAAAATTTACAAGAAAGAAAAAAAAAAAAAAGAGCTTAATATTTATTTGTTTACTTTATTAAACATTTCTTTCAATGTAAGTTGTTTAAGTTGCTTCGTTTTTTGTGCTTAATACTTTCTCTTTAATTCCATAAAAACAGACATAATTTCTTATTCAGTTGCGAAAGTTCCACTTGTTCAAGTCCCGTAACTTGCTTGTGTCGAGAATACCGACTTAACTTGTCAATCGAAATTTTTTCGTTTTTAGTAACCTCTCTGTCACTTTCTTCACTATTGGTAGCGGTATTTTCTGGATCTAGAACCATACTACAGATTTTGCCGTCCGTTAATTGGTTGATGATTGGGGCATTGTTGTTGCAATGAAAAACTTCTGTTATATCATCTTCATTTATTACCGCTTCTGCACATTTCTTTACAAAATCCAATAACAGGAAAATTTCACTTTTAGTTTACGATGTCCGAAAACCTTCAAATTCGCAGCTATCATCTTCATCGTCCTCACCATGAAATATGGTAGCTGGCCATAAATTATGCCAAGCATTTTTTAACGTATCTGGAGACACATTCTCCCACGATCTTGCGATGCTCCACACAGCAGATTTTATGCTAAAAAATTTCAAAAATGTTTTGCCATTGTTCAAGAAATGTAACATAGATTTTTAAAATGCTACTTGATATTTGCATTTCGGCGTGTGCACTATTCCCATATCCATAGGTTGAATGATAAATGTACAATTTGGAGGGAAGAATAATATGGATACTATCTTTCACTAAAACTTGAAGTAAAGTATGCGCCAAACAGTTGTCAACAATCAGGAATATTTTTGAGTCATCAGGTAAACCAACCAAATTCAAATGTCGTCAAGTCTCGGGTATAAAATTATTTTCAAACGAATCATTCATGAACACTTGTGTCATCCATGCTAATTTATTTGCACGATATATAATGGGGAAAATCGTTACTCCTTTAAATGCTCGAGGCCGTGCATGTTTTTCAATTACAAAAAGTTTGCACTTGTGCGTTCCTGCAGCATTTGCACACTCTATAATTGTTAGTCTCACTTTTGAATCTTTGATACCAGTTGGAGCCTTTACTGTAAAGGTTGTCAAGGTATTTCACAGTACATATTGCCAGAAAAGACCAGTTTCATCAGCATTGTAAATTTGTTCTGGAGATAATTGTTTACTAGTAATGAGTTCAATGAATTCATCTGCAAATTGTTCAGCAGCTTTGATATCAGCTGAAGCTTTTTCACCTGAAATTTTTAATTTTCTTATACATTGGCGATTTTTAAATTTGGTTAACCAACCTGTCGAATATATGCACTCATTTTTTAAGTTCATTTCTTCATGAAATATTTTGGCTTGAGTCATTAGTATTGGACCCGTCAATGGCACGCCCTCGCTGCGACGCTGTCTGACCCATTCAATCATTACTTTGTCATGATTGTCACTTTTAGCATAACAAACCCTTTTTCTGTTATTCATTGCAAGTGGGGTGTTGGAATACGTAAAAAATTCAAAAAGTTCCTTTTTCTTTTTGCATATACAGTTATGTCATATACAGTCAATTGTTTCAATGTCATACTTCTCGCATAATTTTGAGACGGATATGCTTTTATCCATTTTTTGCAGCAATTCCACTTTTTGTTTGATGGACATCGAAACATGCTTTTGCTTTGTAGATGCTTTGGCAGCTCTTTTTGACATAATCGAAAGTTCAAGCTTAATTTTTATAAAATTGCTCTAACAGTCTGCAAAAAATAATAAGCCGGATCCAACTAGAAGATTAAGGAACAGTGCAATCTGCAACATTAACTGAAATGCCTTAGAATCAGTAAAGATAATTTTAGCCTAGCTTATACCATTAGCCTAGCGTATATTATATTATTATACATTAAACGTGCATGTGTAAACGCATTACGCATATGCGTTAAGCATACAAAAAAAAAAAGTTTGTGGCTTTGAGGTTCAGGATTATAGATCATTCCGGATAATGGACGTCCGGATTACGGACTTTGTACTGTAATTATATTAACGATACTTATATTAACGTTTCCTGTAATAATATTATGAAAGATATCATATAAATAATACTTATTTTAATAGTAAGTTATATTCCAAGCACATTATACCATTTGTTTTTAGAAAAAATATTAAAAGATCTTTGTATTTATAAGTATTATGCAACATCTTATAAAAATTATGATTATAAAAAACAAGACCATAATTATACTAAATAAAAAGTTAAGAACATTATATATATATAAAGATTTATTGTTATGTAGATTCTTACTTGGCCTTTAATATGTGAATTTAAAAAATATTGGTGTAAAAATTAGCACAAGGAATCGTTACTTTTCTGCTAATAGGGTGTCAGTCACCAGGTGTGGTAGCCTATTTATATAGCATTTATGAACAGCTATGCAATGACATAGTTCTGAATAAGTGGGAATACTGAACAATGAGCATCAACCCAAGAATTTTCTGTCTTAGATTTTCAACTGCCCAAGTGGATAAATTGGCAGCTCTTGGGTACGTCTGCCTTCAAGTTAACCTCAACTACAGCATTATTGATCCTGATACTGCATGTCATGTGCAAAGTGGCGAAACAAACTTCAGTGGGGCACTAGCCAGCATGATCTAGATTCTTACCTCACTAAGCTCATGTGGCAGCAACTGTATAAATAGGTGTATACTTTGTTAAAGTTGTCATCTCACTCATTTGCCAAAATCAGAAGTTTAGTTACCAGAATTGGTGAACTCATAATACTAATAATAACAGTGTCAGTAAACTTACATTGACAGTAATATATCGTATAGTGTAATATTTGGAATGGATAAGACAGACATTGGATAAGACAACAGTTTCATTCTTCCCAAATACACAGCTGTCACTTAAAAAAAAAAAAAAAAAAAAAAAAAAAAAAAAAAATCAGGGAATTGCACAAATTTGGCATTGTGTGCAGTATATTACAGTTTGTTAGAGCTCATTCTAACTTCATCAAAATTCGTAATACTTGTACTCAAAATTATAGCTATTTAATAAACTAATATTTAATATCATCAGAAATCATCTAACTCTGTAACTGGGAGTTAATTTTTAATTACATAAAAATGATTTTTTACATTTCTAAAATATCATATTTTCTTGGTTTCAGCTAGGACTTTTAATTAGTCCAAAATCTAATTTTTAAACTTCTGGTTCTTGCTATTACTATAATCATTTGCAGCATGTAACTGATGATACTTAGGCATAAATTTTCATTAGCAGCATTTCTTTTTATTCTTCATTTTTTAATATTTTCTCTCTGTGTATGGGTGAAAATAGTATTAGATAACTTTTCTTTGTATATTGTTTTCTAGGAAAGTTATTCTGGAATTGAAAAATAATACTCTGTTAATTGTTCTTGGGGACCATGGAATGACAGAAAGTGGAGATCATGGTGGTGACAGTGCACAAGAAGTTTCTACAGCATTGTTTATATATAGTCCTTCCAAAATCATATCTGATGTACTAGTAAGTTTCTGAAATTCCATGGAGAAGTTTCTGTTATTAATAATTTGCATAAATCTTAGTTTATTATTTATAATGAAGAAACTTTTCTTTAAATTATTCTATTTTAGGATTTTAAGAATAAAAGTTAAACTATTTTGAGCAATAGCTGTGTAAAAAATTTTTTTTTACACAGTAAGAAATGTTAAATGGTTTATTAAATCTAAGCAAAACATGCATATTTTTTCCTTTAAAATATTAAGGAAAAAGTGGTACAGTTAATAGTAAGTTTTCTAAATGGCATAAGTACATAAACACAAAAATGCCCAGTTTATTAAATTTTATAAAACTCATTGTGATTCTTTATTTGGGGTCTGATTTTAAGATTTTTCAGAGTTATTTAAAAAGTATAACTTGTTTATAGTTTTACACTTCAAATTTCATATTTAAAACTAGATTATTGAATATACTATGTAAGAATACTTTTTCTAACAAGACGGCGCTCCACATTTTCCTTAATATGCTAGTACTGAAATTACTGAAAAAAGGAATTCAAGTTTTTATTATTATTATTATTGTTTATTACTCTGGTTTGATATTCAACAAACCTGAATAATAAAATATATGAATATGTGAAGTTAAAGTGTCATTAAAAATTAACATTTCTTAAATTTCATTGAAAATTCTTGATTGTGTATCATGTCTATGGTGTGCACAATGTTTCTTCAGTATAACAGTTGTGCTTTTTTTTTAGTCTATCACAATATTATTGCTGAATTTTAAACAAATTTATCTCTGCTTTTGGTATTAAAAATTTTTGTGTTATGAGAAAAAAAAGTGTGCTAATTGATTAATTATGCATGCAAACTAAGAAATTGAGCCATTTTGCACAGCTCTATAAACTGACTATCATGAGTACTGAATTTGATTTTCCTGCACCTAAAATCCTAAAAATATAAATAGCATTTTTCCTGTATTAGTAGAATTCAACTGGAATTATGAAAATGCAGAATAATAAATATATTAAATATATTTATTTAAAAAGTAAATGAAAAATTATGAAAATAAAATAGGAAATATAAATGTGAAAATACAAAAAAGCATTTACCTGTATTTACTGAATTAAATATTTCTGCTGAATAAATAAGAAGTACTTATAATTATCTGAGCATTATCTCATTCATCTCTTCTAAAAATTGCTTAGAACAGTGGTCTCAAACTCAAATTGTATGTGGGTCGAATGTTCAGTCTGAAAGCAGCTGATGAGCCAGAACAAGCTATTTTAACAAAATTTAAAAACGTTTTTAATAAACAAAATAAAATAACAAACTAAATTTTAACTTTTCTTTCTGACAATTTATTAAAACATACATAAACAATAATAACACAAAAGAAAAAAAATCAAAATTCATATTTATTTTCTATTTGATGTCTAAAGGTTGGTACCTGCAATAAATTTTTATTGGTTATACTCTGTAATTCAAATGTATTGACAATTAAATATTGAATTTTAGACTGACATTTATATCAGGTAGTTCCAACTGTTGTTGTTAACATTATTATTAAATAACTTATTTTTGATCTTAACCAGAAAATTGTAAATTTCAGACTACTGAAATGCCAGTAGCTGTCAGCTTGCAAACTAAATATACTGACTGTACCAGTGTAGGAGATTCTACTACTGTACCATAGTCATATCACCTGTCATATACAAGCAAACACTGAGAAAGCCCAACTTTTCCATGCTATCTTTTTTCTTTCAATAGCAGTCCCACTCATAAGCACCGTCCATATCTTTATGTCTCTAAAACTATTAGCACCATATTTGTAATAAATACATAACTGAAATGTATTCATGGGACCACTGGCTTAGATCAATAATTATATTGGATATTTCTAAGAAGTGAGAGTGAGAAGAAGTCAGTGTGATCATTATATCTAACTAATTAAAAAAAGAGCTTGTGAAATGCCAGACACATGAAAATTCTGGAAAATTTTGAACACGTGAAAATTTTGAAAGTACAATTCATCATAGAATAGCCAAATGAATAGAAGAATTTTCTAGTGTAAAATTTAAAAAAATCACCTTATTTGTTATCAACTTGAATATCAAAAGCCTACATTTAAAATAATGTAGGATTTTTGAAAAAAAAATATTACATTTCAGGTTTTAAAGCCAGTATATTTCTAGACTTTAAACACATGAAAGTATGAAATATCATTACCATGAAAGTTGGCAGATGTTGCAAAAATTGAACCAATCATTTCAGCAGAAGTTTAAAGAAACATATCGCTCTTTTTTTAAATATTTAACAGATACAAGTTATGGATATAGCATACAAAAAATTTTAATCACTTATCGTAATTTTTCACATTATATTGCTATTGTTTATCCATTTAAAATAATCAAAATCTTGGAATCTCAGAACTTTTAAGCTGCACCAATGGCTGAGTAGTTAAGACCACTAAATGCAAACAGTTTGATCTGGTTTGGGTTTGATCGCTGGTGAATGGGCTGGCTGTATGGTCAATTTTCATCATTTTTCCATGAGTAATGTGAATAAGAGACAGTTTCCTTCAAAAAGTCCTACATAAGGGCATCTTTCCTCTTATGCAGATAATAATGGCATTACCATATGCAAAATAACCGAACTCTAACTCTAAACATAATATACGCTGTTTTGTAAAAGCTAAATTTTCATAATTTTTTTTTTTTTTTTTTTTTTTCAGAATGCAAGAGAAAAACAGATAAATAGCAGTTAATCTATATCCCTCTTTATGAAAATTAAACCAGCTTATCAAAAATTAATAGCGTGTGCTTAAAACCAAGGCAAAGATCATAAGGTTGTGTTTTGAATTTACAGTTATCCATTATTGGTGTTAAAACACATGTTTTGGGGAAAATATCATATAAGTGCTTTCAAAGTCTCAATTTACTCATTTTTGTAGAGGAAATAAAGGTTACTGAAATATGCCAGTTATGTGAGCTTTCCAGTTAATCGAATGCCAGATAGTTAGGCTCTTACTGTACTGTATAAAAGTAATCAAAATATTATATATTTGGATTTTGTGGATAAATTGAGACAGATATGATCAGTTTACTTAGCTGACCAACAGCTGAATAGCAGCAAGTAAGCTATTTCATGCTGTATTCATGCATGTATCATTTCATGCTGTATTAATCAAATTAGAGTGTCATTTGCTAAGTAAAAACTAAACAAAACAAAAATATAATAGTGGCATGTTTATCACAGCTATACTATTCATTCTAAAATTATGCATGAACAAGCTGTGCTTAATTTCCAGAGCTTTAACTTTGTTGTGTTTATTATCACCATCCATTCTTATTCCTCTGTTGCATATAAGAGGAATGCTGGCCAATGGAAAATACAAGGATATATTTGTTCGATATACATCAAAGGGTTGAAGAGTAAATGAAGAAACTGAATAAGTTTACCATTATTTCTTTTTTACAAAAATTATGGGCTTATGTATTAAAATTTATGGCCTCTTTCATTTTGTTTTCTCTAATAATTTACCAATTTTTGCAGGTTCATAAAAACATGGCTGTTTCACAAGTGGATGTAGTTCCTACCATGTCTTTACTTTTGGGATTGCCAATACCTTTTTCTAATTTAGGCATTGTGATACCTGAACTGTTTACTTTGAATATGAAGGAAGTGTGTTTCCATGAAGATTTAGATCCATTGGTAGGTGCTGCTTTAGCACTTGCTGAAAACTGCATTCAAGTACAAAAGTATCTTCAAGCCTACAGTACTGTTTTTGGGGAACTGCCTGATGCATTTGTAGCATTAGCTGTAGAGCAGCTGAAAAACATATCCATGTTATGGCAAAAAATTTCAGATAATGTAAATCACAGTAAAAATATTCTGTCTGAAATTTGTGCATCCTACACAAAATATTTATATTATGTCCGAAATGTGTGTGAAAAGAAATGGGCTACTTTTAACTTTGAACTAATAACATTAGGTACAATTATATTATGTTTCACTTTGGCTTTTAACTGTTGGATTGCAGAGCAATTAAGTTTCAAATATTTTTTATTCATTTTTTGCACAATATTATTTTTTTCTCTATTATTAACATTATATATTTTCAGTAAAATAAGCATCTGGCTTGTTATTACTGTAATTATGTTATATTTATTAGTAATGTATTATAAGTTACTTATTGGAGAATTGCTTCATTTTTGTCTAAAACTATCTAATGTTCCGTTTTTAATATGTACACTGTTCTTTTTTGCTAGCTTTTCTAATAGTTTTGTTATAAATGAAGATCGTGTTTTATTGTATTTTCTGCAATCAGCTATATTGTACACATTTTGCCCCTGCATTGTAGAATGCATAAAATATCTTTTTCCAAATCCTGCTAATAAAACTAAAACTGGGAAGAAAAACCAGAAAGTGACATTCAAATTCATATTGCAACCTGTTTTTCTGTCATGCCTTATGGCATGCGTTAGACTTGGTTCAATGTTTTATAAATGTCGAGAAGAGCAAACGCAATGTGTGAACTATGATATTATAATTTCTTTAGAGAAACTGCATCATAATGAGTCATACAAATTATCAAGACTTTTATTATCATTAATATCTCTGATAATTCCTGTAGCAATATTTCTTCAAATAATATCTAGCAAATTTCCATCAAAATCTCTTACAGTATCAGCAGTTTGTATAAAATATGGAATTTTTTTTGTATGTGTGTGCACTTCACTTCGATGGTGGCTTAACATTGTACCCTTAGAAGCAGTGGACAGAATACTCCAAGGGAATGAAGTAAGTATATAAATATTATTATTTTAGAACCTGTTAGTTATCTGCTACCTAAATGTTGTACCTGCTTCTAATGTATTAACTAAGTAAATATTATTTCATTTCCAATTTGCTAATGAAAAGAAGACGGTGACTTTTTTTTTTTTTTTTTTTTTTTTTGTAAATCTGATGAATGATTTTGTAAGTAAAATTTTTTAAAAGCTGCTTTTAAGGTGGTAGGTAAATATTTTGATTTGAATTAATATATAATATATTCTTATAAATAAATAATATGTTACATTATTTGCCATTTTATTAAATTCTTCCTTTGCATTTAGTCAACTTTCAGACAAAATTCATATTCTATGATTTGATCTGGCTTATAAGATTGATTAATTATATTGAATTAGTATAAAATCTACATAATAATATATGACCATGTTTTAAAAAGTAATTGTTTAACATGTAAAACACCTCTTGACATACAGATAAAATATTAGCCTATGACTTTGATATCTCAAGTGAATTTTATTTCAACTATTAGTTATATTTTAAGTGAGTATATTATGGAAATTCTCCAAGCATATAAAAATGATGCAGTGGCTGAAACTGTGTGAGGAATAACTAAAGTTGTATGAGGAAGAATTGTAAATGTGTAAATGTGCATCAATTTCTTCAGATCTGTGTTAATGATATATTCATAATGATATGCACTATAGCCAAAAAAATTGATGCATCTAGAAAAAGCAGTAGATCATAATGAAACTGATCAAGGAAATAGGTGAGACCATGAGGAAAATATGAGAACAAAGCCATCTCAGATTAATATGGTGTACTGCCTCAAGCATTGCAGCATGCAAAAATACAGTCAGTCATGGATGCATATAAATGTCTAATGTATTCTGGAATGATGTCCTGCTAGTGTAACTCCACAGCCAAGTCAGACACATTTTTCAGTGGCTGAAACTGGTGGCCAAGTATCTCCCAAATGTACCCAATGGAGGAAAGTTTGGGTGATTGGGATGGTTATGAGAGGATTGCAGAAGCAATGTGTGCTGCATGCGGACAAGCATTATATTGTTTAAAAATAGCCTCCAACTGCCAGCTTTGCATGGCAGCAGGGTACTATTAAGTCATTCAAAAAATTCTGCAGTTTTTCAAACTGAAGTGCATTCTCTTCTAATTATTTTCTTACTGGAGTGACTTGATCAGCAGAAGTTTAACAGTTTTTTTCTGCTCTGTTACATAATTCTAGCATGGGTTATGGCATAATTTTTGTTTCAATGCAGTGCTGAGAATGGAGAACTGAAAAGTTCATTTTCAGCATATTTATGCTCTTAAAAAAAAGGGGGGGGGAAATATGCTATTCAGATTGCTTGTAAAATTTTTGTTCTCTGGGGACAAAATGTTGGTTCTGATGGCACATTTCAAAGGTGGTTTGAGAAGTTTAAGAGTGAAAAGTTCAGCCTCGAAGAGGATGCCTGCAATGGATGACCACCCTTTGCAAACAAGGGCCTATTAAAGGAAGCTGTCACTGAAAATCCAAGTTATAGAGTCACAGGAAATATCAAACAGAATGAGGGGGGGGAATGACTCATTATAGAGATGGGAAGTGGATACTGTTTAATAATGTCACAAGAAAAAGATCATGGGGTAAGCCAAAAGGACTTTCTATATTCTGAGAGGAGGGCTGAATCCTTAAAAAGTTACATTTTGTGTATGGTGCAACTATAAAGGAATTGTATAACTATGAATTATTACCACCAAATAAAAAAAAATAAAAAAAGAAAAATATTGTTCTCAAATGGCAGTTTTAAAACAAGAAATCAAAGCAAAATATCCAGAACTGATCAGTTCTGGATATTTCATGGTATTTCTTCCGTCATGACAATGCTTTGCCTCACATCTTGATAAATGTCAGGCAAAAAGTATGGCTGAGATGTTTTGTGTCATTCCCATATTCACTTGCCTTCTCAGATTTTTATCTATAGATTAAATCTCAGATTTTTATCAATAGATTTAAAAATACTCTGAATGGTCTAGGGTTAATTTCTTTACAAATAAATCTAGGGACTTTAAAAAAAAAAAAAAAAAAAAAAATGGAATTTTCCAACTGCCTGAGAGATGGCAAAAAATAAAAATAAAATGATGCTTATGTGATTCAATGAAAGTTTATGTTTTTCAGTGTTTATTTACATTTATCATAAAAAAAGGCCATAGGACTTTTCAGATGACCCAATAGAACAAGCTACAAGATCTATTATTGACTAGTCAGAGTTGTGTGCAGGATGACCAAAGGTGACTTTTTGTTATACACAGTAGCACTCTAAATGGTAATGCCAGGTGTAATGAAGATATGATGATGATGTCGTGTCTATGACAAAGTGCAATTATATAGCTTCGAAGCTGTCAAAGACAGCTTTTGCAACCTTGTCAGCTCTATCCGTATAAAGTAGGTCCACTGGGTCTTCAATGCCGATGTTAAACAGTCTGGCCTGGATTAATGAAGATATGTTGCTGCATAATGATATAGATGAGCAATGTCATCTTGACTGGCTTCACACGTATGAATGCTGAGATTGTTTGACCAACCAAGAATCTGGATTCATCACTGAAAACAATACAACTCTAATCCACTGCATTCTACCCAACATTATAGCAGACATTGTTAATAATGAGCCGCCATTAATGGTAGATACAATAAGGGACACTGACAATGCAGTCCATGCTCCACCAGTCATTCTCCAATGGTTCTGCATGACACCAAACATCCTAAATATGTGGGTAGGTTTTGATGAATGGTGTAAAGTATAAGGGTGGTTGTGGTGGAACATAAGTGTCTTGATCTGTGCATTGAGTCATCCTCTGTGGCCTACTGCTAATGGACAATGTATTGGAATCACAGTTGATAACATTATCTCATTATTTCATTGCTCTTACTCTCTTGCCTGGCAATTGAGTAGTATGACCACTTTGCTTCCCAGACGGCAGTGTTGCAATTGCTCTAGAACTCTTTCAGTTGCGTGTAACCTTGTGAGGTTTACCTTAAGGCATTCTTTTTGGCTGAAGCCAACAGCACTTAGGCCATTCCAAATTAACGTGGCAGGCAAGTGCTGGACCTCTTGTATCTGCTGAATTGGTGTATTCCAATTCACCATTCACATGCTGTGTGCATTCACTGGCAGTGCATATTTACTAATATTGGGTTTTAATGGAAATTTCCATCACTGCAAATATCCTCTGCTCAAACAGTTCACTTTGGCATGTTTAATTATATTTTGTCAAAAGATTTTTGGCATTTGAAAGAAAGGGATTTGCTTTAGAATACTGTGTTGTGAAATTTGTAAAAAAATATTGTTATTATTTAAGTACAAGGTGTCTGAAATGGAACTATCATGCTACCAGATTAGAACATCATTTACTTCCAGTTCTGTTGCAAAAAGTCAGCTACAGAATGTTATCAAATCATGTGTATAGCTTTTAGTACTAATGTTGTATTATATGAACTGTAAGGGTTTGGTACCAAAAGTTCGAACTTTGACATTCAAGAAGCAAAGCGCTCTATTCAGACTACTGATGTTGATGAGGCCCGCCTGCGAGAATTTTTGGTAGAAGATCAGTATGTATTTATCGATCAAGAGCTTGCTAAAGATTTAGACATTAGTGTCATGTCCATTAGTCACGCCATGCTTCGCATAAACTTGACGTACAAGTTCAATCGCTGGGGTGCCACATGAGCTAACTGAAGCAGATAAGGGACAGACATATTCGTCCCTTATTCGCCTGCACTGATCTGCCTGAATATCAATGCAAGGACAAAATTCTGGACTGGATTGTCACTTGTGATGAAAAGTTGATTTACTTCAACAACACAGGCTGCAAAGGGGGTAAGTCTGCGCCTAGTGAGTCTGTCAGCAGTGCTACAAAGCGCAATTTGACTGACAAAAAGATTATGCTTTGTATCTGGTGAGTTTGCCATGGTATTATCCACAAAGAATATCTGGAGAAAGGCAAAAAACCCTCGACAGTAAGGTGTACAGTGAGATGCTAGTCTGTATTGACATTGCTATCAAGGAGAAATGTCGAACTGAATTCTGTTGTAAAATGGTAATGTTCCATCAAGAAAATACAAGACCACATATGGTTGCATTCACCGGCTGGACTCTGTACGAACTCAAGTGGGATCTTTTTCCACACCCACCATATAACTCCAACATTGCTCCTTCAGACTTCTACCTTTTGTCTTACCTGCAGCTACATCTTGCTGGTGCTATATTCCATTTTGCACAGGATGTCTGAAATGAGGTTGATCTGTTTTTGGACTCGCGGTCACCAAGTTTCTGAGCCGAAGGCTTAGGAAAACTATCAGAATATTGGCAGAAAATCATAGATTTGAGTGGTGATTACTACCTGCACTAAAGGTACTGCTTTCATTTTTTCCCTTACTTTATCAAGACTGTTTTTTGGTAGAAAACTTTCGTAACAACAAGATAATATGCATAGGTGAGTTTGGAATTTTTGCATGTCAAGTGTCATTGCATTCCATTACACTTTTTCAGTACATGATATTTTTTTTTACAGAATGTATATTAGACTTAAGTACCATGTGTGAGATGTTGTATTAAATGCAATGTGCAGCGCCAAATAACACTTACAGTAACTAATCATCTTGCATGATTTTATATTTTTTAGGCAATCAAGCTGTATGCAATATAGTATTAAAATTCCAAATTTTATAATTGCTAAAAATGTTATTCTTTTGCAAAAGATCTCATATATATATATATATTATATATTACTTATATTATATATTATTACTTATATATTACTCATATATTGTTATATATTTACTATATATGAGGCATTTTTAAATTACATGCAAATATTACATGTATTTTTAAAGAAATTTATCTTGGACTTAAAAAGTTCTATATATGCTTTATAAGCGAAATATGTATACATGATTGGCCATGATTTGATTTCCTTTTATTTGTATGAAGATTTTAAGAATGCATAAGATTATTAGATACAGATACTGAATCAATAAAAATGGCTGATTTTTTTTTTGGACCAGAGCTCCATACTATTATGTGCTTTCATGATATGCTTTTAAAAAGATATTTAATAGGTGCATAAGATGAACATCTGGAAGTCATTAGTTCCAATGAAAATTCTGAATTCATTTTGAAGATACCAGGGCACTTTAGGCTTCCCCAGTTCTATATCTTGCTTAAAGGAATCATTGTTACCACAGAAGGAACAGTGTTATGCGTTAAGAGGAAACTTATAAGTAGGATATATTACTTCTGAATTGAACTGCTAAATGGAAAACTGCCAATGTTCAGCATTCTTATGTTACTGGTGGGCCTATTTAATGAATACAATCCTCACATCATTACCCCTACATAAAATTTTTATAGATGCTGATAGAGCTCTGTCAGATAAAAATTTTAATAAGGAAATATAAAGTAAATACCTTACAAAATGTTTATAAGGAAATATAAAGTACTTTATAAGGAAATGTGTAGTAGTAAATAACAATTTTCTGTAAAAATAGAAATATAACTTTTCTATAAAAATAAAAATATTTAGTATAAAAATTTATTGAAGGTCATCTTTTCCTAATATGCCTGATTCAATATTTCTTTTATTTATTTTTATAAATTGAATTATAAGTATGTCTTCATCATATTTGCATTTCAAATTCTACACTTGCATAGATAGATTATTTACTTCTATAATATAAATAGCTCTTTTTAGCTATTTATTTATTCTGCTGGAAGTAATGTCCTGTTTAATGCTAAAATTTTTTGCTATTGAAGATAAGTATACATTGCCAGTTTGTGATAAATTATTTCATTATTTCATCAATTTCATTACAATTTTATTTAAAAATAAAAGTTTTTTTATTTATCAAAATGTGTAAAAAACTCTCATTGTATTGCTTATATTCTAAATATTGCTGTATTTAATGAAGTATTTGTTATTTTGTACTTGTAAATATAACTCCAAAATAAAAGTTTACTACATTTAATGATATTCAGAGTGAGCTGAATGTGATTTAATAAAATTCTGTTAAATGGGAGTTGAGAAGGAAATCAAATTTTTTAAAGTCTAAAAAATAGCTTGTTAGTCCAAAGGGGCAATTTACCCTGAAGGATTATTAATTTTGTTTTGGCATTTTGCATTGAAAACTATAAATGTCAAATCACTTTTCAAATTGTTGCTACCAAATATTATCACCCTGTATTATATTTAAAGAAATTAAATAATGAAGAATCTGCATGAATGTATATATCTTGCACTGTGATAAAACAACGGTACCTAGAGCCATAAAAATTTGAATAATGTAATCTTCCATAGAATATGGACATGTGGAAGCCCTAATTTGAATTTGAAATTTATTATCGATTTCATATTTTGTAACACTTCAGCGAATTTTTTATTTAAAAATTAAATGATTTCAAAGCAAGCAATGGGAACACTGTACAAAAAAATGCATTTTTATCTCCAGCGCACAAGACTCTGTATTAGAAATTCTACAGATATGATAATTTTAATTAATTGCTGTTGAACTGAATTTTATGGTTAGAATATGTAGAACATGATATTTAATAAATAAAGGTAACACACAAAACGTTAAAAATAATGCTGCTTTGGACATAATTTAAAATCTGAAACCTTTCAGATTTTAAATCCAAAGGAACAGTTTGCCCTGAAGGACTATATTTTCTTTTTGGCATTTGGCGTTGGTTCACTATAAATGTTCGATTCACTTTCCAAATTGTTGCCACACAATATTATCACCCCGTATTATATTTAAAGAAATTAAATAATGAAAAATCTGCATAAATGTATGTATGTTTCTTGCATTGTCATAAAACAATTTTGAATAATGTACGGTTCCACCTGAATATGGACATCTGGAAGCCCAAATTTGGAATTTGCTTTATTATCTATTTCATGTTTTGTAAAACTTTAACGAATTTTTGATTAACAAACTCAGCGATTTAAAAGCGAGCAATGGCAACACTTTACAGGGGCGGGACCTTTTTATTTTCAGCGTGTGGAACTGTGTATTGGAAATTCAAAAGATTTTATTTCATTTAAAAATTATTTTGCGATATTGCTGTTGAACTGAATTTTATGGTTTAAGTGCGAAGAACATGATATTTAATAAATAAAGGTAACACACAAAACGTTAAAAAAATGCCCCTTTGGATGTAATTTAAACTCCAAAATCTTTCAGATTTAAAAAAAAAAAAAAAAAAAAAAAAAAAAACCTAAATTTTTGGAGTAAAGAATTTTTTTTTAAATTTAAATTTTTTTTTTTAGGTTGTCCTCACACGTGCTGCTTCATTGACTGTAATAATCATGTTAACAATTATTGGTTTGTTTCCAATGCTATCTGAGAAACCATGGGAAATCTCATCAAAAGACGTTTATTTTGGAAGCCTTGGATCTTTGTTTTTTGTTGTTTTACAGCTGTTGTATTTGACTGCAGGAGATGCAATAGCACCCGCAATTGCATTAATGTATTTTTCTACATTACTGTGTTTCCTTCTTAATGATACCTCTTTTAGTAATTCAGGTAATACATTTTTATAAATACTTCATTAAAACTTATTTCTGTTGTAAATTATTTAATTTTTATTCATTCATTTATTTATTTTTACCAATTTAGTTTTGAAATAAATATCCCCCCTTGTGAGACTGAATCATAACTTTACAATGCAATTTTATTTCAGATGATACATTTTAATTATTATAAAATTAGTTTTTTTTTTTTTTAAAGTCAAAATGCATGCATTTTTTGGCATTTAACTTTCTGTGCCTACTACAAAGTATTATAGTTAAAGAAAGGAAGGAAGTACACTTTTAACTAAAAAACAAAAGAGACTGCTTTAAAGTAAGACTAAAACTAGTAGACTTTCTAGACTGCATTTAAGTAAGTACAAGCAAAAATAAAAATAATATTTATCCCTTGTTTATTGGATAAAAATCTTCGATTTAAACAATAAACTAGATAATTGTAGAAAAGTTTAATAGTATCAATATATATTTGCAATTACTGTCTACTTATTAATCACAAGTCCTGTTGGAAAATGTCATTGAGAGTTATGTGTTCATTGACTTATTAATACTACTATTATGTATTATAAAAGTATGATTTTATGAAATACTAATCCCATTTCAATCTAAAGTACTGTGATGAATGGTATCTGAGGGCCATATATATATACAGTGGGTAAAAAAAGTATTTGCACACCTACATTTTTGTTTGCAATTCATAAAAAGAAGCATTAAGAAATAAAAAAATTGGATTTTTTTAGCATCTATTACTGCTTGTAATCTTGCTGGCATTGATTTAATTAAATTTTCTGTAACAGTAGGGTCAATATTCGGTCCACTCTTCAATAAGGGCTTGTTTAAGGGTAGATTTGCTTGAAATCTTCCTTTTTACTTATTTTTAAATTCCAAAGAATTCCACAGAATTGTCCAAAGGATTTAAGTCTGGTGATTGTGGGTGGAGCGGCAAGTTTTCTGGGTTACATTATAAAGCAACCACATACGTGTTATACCGGCAGGTGTGCTTGGGATCATTGTCTTGCTGAAAATAGTACGAATTACAGATACACCAATTTTATTGCACTTTGTGGCAAGTTATCTCGCAACAACATCAATATAGGTTCGAGCTGTCATATCCCATCAATGAAACACAAATTACCAATTCCTTTGCTAGCCATGCACCCCCAAATCATAACAGAACCTCCTCCATGTTTAACTGTAGGTAACACATTTTTGGTATGAAAAGCAGTACAAGGTTTTCTCCAAACTAATTTTCTGCCATCTGATTTAAAAATATTGAACTCACTCTCGTCGGAGAATATGACATTTTTCCAGAAATCAATTGGCTTATTGATATATTCCTTAACGAATTCAAGTCTCTTCAGTCTGTTTCGTTCAGTTAGGAGAGGATTTTTCCTTGGTGATCTCCCATAAATGTGTGCATCGTGCAGGACATTTCGAACACTTTGGGCACAGATTTGAACTCCAGATGTTAAAGCGACATCATTGGCTAAAGTAATTGCACTAACAAATGGATTTTTTGATGGCTTCTCTTATGATTTTTCGCTTCATCGCAGTGAAAGTTTCTTTGGGCGTCCAGAGCGCAAGTTATTTGATGTAGATTCCTCTTTCACATTTTATAACATACCAAACAGTAGAGAAGCAGACATTTACTTTTTTACCTATTTCTCGATAACTTAGGCCATTTTCACGTAGAGAAAAATTTTTTTTTCTCGCAACGAAATCGGCAATTCAGATTTCTTAGGTGCCATTACAATTTGAAATCGACAATCAACTGATAACGTTTCGACAACACTCCTTTCTATAGTCGTCTTACATATATTATTTACTGCGGGATGACTGTCAAATAATAGCATAAAAATGCAAATTTGCTAGAAGTTGAGTTGAGTGTGCAAATACTTTTTTTGACATAAGCTATTTTAATATTGTTGCAAAAAATGTCTTTTATTAATATTATTGTATTTTTTGTAATTAATTTAAATGAATAGGCTTATTCTATTTTTTAAATGCCAATTTTGTATTTATTAATGCATTTCTTATAAATTGTGAACAAAAATGTATGTGTGCAAATACTTTTGTACCCACTGTATACCGTATTTGACGGATATAAACGCACTTTTCTAAATTTGGTCTCAAAAACGTACCTACGTCTTATACGTGAAGGTAATTGCATTCAATAATTGTTTATTTGGCTTTTACGAAATGTGAGAACTAAAAGAAACCAGGGTTCGTACGGTCCTTAAAAGTCCTTAATTTTTTCAAAAATGATTTTTGGTCCTTAAAAGCCCTTAATTTTGGCCAAAATGAATAAACGGTCCTTAATTTTGCTCATTTGACATTTCTTTAATGATTGTCATTCTAAGTGTGAATTACGATTTCTCATGAATATGGAATTAAAATTACACGGCTCTTAACCAATCTGTTGGCGGATTTGCATTGCAAACGATAAAAAAAAAAAAAAAAAACAATTAGCTACCCGAACGAAAGTATCGGTGTCTGATTGGCTATTCACCCAATCTTTCGAAACAGGTGTTATCCATAAATTTAGGCAGATTGTGACGAAAGCGTGAAGCCGGAAGTTCTTTAAGAGGCGAAAGTGATGATGAAGGTGCTCGAGAAAAAAAAAAAGGGGGGGGGATTCTGAAAATATTTGCCAAAATTAGAGCAATCCCAACCTGGAAGGCCACAACCCTTCCGACGCCAATAGGAACGAGATGCCTGGAAAGTGCATTTTCAATAAACTGTGGCTTCATCAAGCTGACTACAAAGACTGGATATTGATGGATGGCAATCCTTAAATAAATGTGGTCTTTGTCTGAAACAAATTGAAATTTCTAGAATGGGAGAGTCAGCGCTGAAAATTCACATGAAAATTAAGTTTCGTTTTATCATTTCAATTTGTTTTTACACGGTTTTGCTTAGCTTAATTTCTGTGTTTGTTTCAATTAAGCCATAAATTAATTTTTTATCACCTTCTACGGAGTTTATTCTCTTTTGCACATACTATATGTATGGGATATCGGGATTATGAGTTTATTTCTGCAGAGGGTCTGTTATCGATTTCGCGGGAAATCTGTTGGCTCCATTTCGATTTTAGGTCGCCAAGGGCAAATTCGGTAACGCTAGCCGAGAAAAAGTGAAGTTCGGAAATACGTTTTGAAGCTTCAATAGACAATTAAGTATTTGGTTTAAACCTATGTTGTTGATAGTAATGCATAATTTTTGCTAATGGCGATACAATTATTAGTTGAAAATAACTAACTAATTTAAAAATTTTTTAATATTTTAAAGCTGAAAACAACTAATTGAAACTAATTTTCCTGAATTAACTAGACGCAAAATTAACTTTCATGAATTACTAAAGTTATTGGGTAGAAGTTTAACTGAAAATATACATTCCGTATTATATATATATATATATACAGTACAAAGTCCGAGGTCTGGGACTTCGGCGATCCCAGATTTGAGATTTTTCCGGATATTAGATCATTTTAAATCTACTAAGATGGCACGTAGAAATTATAAAAATTGAAAATATGAAATCGTGATTTATGAAATAATGAAGCATTTATGATTTAAAGGGTATCAAAATTTACAAAAGAAAAGAGCTTAATATTTATATGTTTACTTTATTAAACATTTCTTTCAATGTGAGTTGTTTGATTTGTTTTCTCTGCTAATACTTTAGACTAATACTATAGACATATAATTTCTTGTTCAGTTATTAAGTTCCATTGTTCAAGTCCTGTAATTGCTGTGTCGAGAATTCCGAATAACTTGTCAATCAAAATTTTTTCTCGTTCAGTAACCTCTCTGTTACTTTCTTCACTATCGGTAGCTGTATTTTCTGGATTTAGAACCATACTACAGATTTCGCCCTCCGTTAATTGATTGATGATTGGGCATTGTCATCGCAATGAAAAACTTCTGTTTAACTTCGCTAAATTCTGCCGCCTGGTGCGGCCATGCGAGCTCTGGCGCTGGTTCTGGCTTTATGTGAATAACAAATCAGTTATTCTTAATTCAAATAGCACTAAATATAATCTAAGTTTAATTCTATGATATCGTTTGTCCTATGAGTATCATTAACAAAATCTATTTTTAGCATAAGGAAAGAAATTTCTGCTAAATCTCCCCTTGTCAACATTTTAGTGCATTAAACTTAAATCTGTAATCGTATAATACTCTGTTATTTGGAATAGTGGAAGCTTATTTGTTATTTGGCGTCGCTGCATGAGTCATCACTCAAGTTGTCATCCGTTGATAAACATGCGGTGGTGAAAGCAAACTACAATAAATAATGATTCGCGATTTCGGCATCAAGGATATAAAATATTAGTTGGTGTAAAATTAACAAATGTTTTGGTTTGAGATTATGCCAAGCAGATACGCAGCTATGGAGTCAAGTTACTAATCACACAAATTTATGCTAAAATAATTATTTCTTCAATAATGAGATATTTTATTTAGCGCCAAACTGAGATTAAGAATCGGGATTTCCGGCATGTTTTTTTATGATGAGGAAAAAAAATCTAATGCGCATGCGTGCGTAAAGCATACCCTTTCCCTCCAAAAAAGCCCTAAAAAATTGGTTGGTGGTGGCTTTGAGGTCCGGATTTTAGATCATTCCAGATATTGGATGTCCGGATCTCGGAATTTGTACTGTATATATATATATGGTAGTATATATATATAGTAAAAAAATGTATATTTTCAGGATATTATATACTACTATACTGCAAAATAAGTAAAATATAAAAATTGTAGTAAGCTTGCCTAAAAGTTACCAGGAGCTGTTGCTCCAAAAAGTTCAACACGTTTTAAAAAAATTGATACATATGAAAATCAAACCATTAAACATGTAAAACATTAAAAAAACAGAATCAGATAAAAAAGTAAGCGGAAAATGGTAAATTAGCCCAACTCGACTTCCAAACTGGCTTTTCAAGGGAAATTTAATTTGTTTGAACATCGAATCAAGCTAACCCCATTACGCGTTTC